TTATAACTTAGGAAGTACCTTTAGCAACTGACTTGTATCAACTGTTGGCTGGTGATGATGGTATTTTTTTGAGGGTGTTAAATTAACCTTGGAATTGACATGCATAACTGATTTGATGACTAGAGAAATCATAGTTTTATATTTTAGTAGGAAACTTGGGTGGTAGAACCTAAAGACATTCAGAAAAGAATGTGACATTTTCTGCCTTACTAATTTGCTACGATTGGCTTTATTCATTTAGGTCACGTTTCACAGTGAAGAACCTAGAAAAAGCCCAAGGTTAAAATTAAATCTGAGTCACTTCCAAATCTTAAGATGTGGTGTGAGTGCCCAGGGCAAGAGTGAGAGATCTGGTTTGTTGCTAGACAAGGTGAGCAATACTGAAATGCTGGTTCATCTTGATCTGTTGGAAGGAATTGTATCATATTGGGTCAAGAACCCCAAGTCCTACTTACAGCGCAGATGGGCAGAACAAATCCTAGCTCTGCCACTTACTTGTGTGGCCTTGGCTTATTAACCTTCATTTCAATTGTATAAAAAACACACCCTAGCGGGGTTAAATTAGCTAATGTTTGTGAAGTGCTAGCATGCAACATGTGGCTCAAAGTAAATCTTAGACAAGCTATTACTACTACTACTATAGAAGGTCTGGAACAGTGAGATAGGTTGTGGTCTGCACTATTTGCAGAGGATATGATTTTTTTTTTGCGTAGAAAATCTCAAGGAATTTACACATAACAAGTAGAACTATTAAACTGAGCAACATTGCAAGGAAAAAGGTTAATATTAAAAAATATTCTCGAATGCTAGCAGCAAACAATTGGAAAATAAATTCCATTTAAAGTAATGCCAATAAAACAAATACCTAAAAATAAGACAATTAAGTTCTATATACCTCAACCTACAAAACTTGACTGAGAAAAAATAATAAATAAATAGAAAGAAAGTCCATGCTCATGAAGTAGAAGATAAGATTAAGACGGCCATTATTTCCAAACGAATCCAAAGATTTACTCCCAAACATTATTCTAGCAGACATCTTTGTAAAATTAGACAAACTGATTCTAAAATGGATTGGGATTGCAAAGGTTCTAGAATAATCAAAATAATTTTAAGAAAGAAGTTGAAGGACGTACCCAACCTGATTTTAAACCTGACTATAAAGCTATTGTTATCAATTCAGTTCAGTAAAGGAAAAAATACATTACAGCTCGATGGAACAGAACAGAGGGTCCAGAAATCGATTAGACTACAGACATGTGGTCAGCTGGTTTCTGACAGAGGTACAGTGGCAAAGCGGGGCACCCCTCCCAGTCCTCGTCAGTGGACCGCTGACTCCTCCTCGCGGCCAAATGCTGTCACTCCTAGTTAGAACGAGCTTTTATCATTGCAGTGTTTTAGTCACTCACAGGATTTCAGTGTTTGTTAGTACCTTCCTCAGAACACCACCTGTGTGCAACTCCATGTACCCCTGCTGTCATAACTCTCTTCACCGCAACACCAGCTTAGAGTCAGTCCTCTGAAATGAGGATTGCAGTTCCATGCGGGGCCAGTCTAAAACTAATACAGAGATATCTTCAATTCACTGTAAATAACGTTTACAGCAAACTCTACTTC